ACTAACAATGCGCTTTTCTGGCTTACAGGGCTTCTTCGTTTTCTGCGGCTTCCAGGCCTACCTTCACTTGCGAGACAGTAGGGGAGGTGCTATATCGCTGCATTGAAATTACCTTGATCTCTTTTCCTTCGAATGTCTTCATGGCACCTTTATCTGTCGATTTTCAATCTTTTGAGCTTATATCTCGGGGTTTCTTGAGTACAACACGGTGGTTCTAAATTTGATGCGTTGGGGGTGATTCGAGGTCGAGAGAATACTTTCATTTCTCTAGAGTATGAATCACCCATGTCTACTCTGTGCGACCTGGATTCGTCTATGTTATAGACGAGTAGGATCGGACTAAACTTGAAAGGCGTTGGCGGGCAGGTTTCCCGGTCTCCTTTGCTAGAATACAGATGGACGACCTGCGACTTGTACATAGAGCGCTCATAAATTATTTCCAGCTCTTTGATATCTCATTTTTTGTCCGATGGACGCACCTAAAGATAAATTTGGTATAGACATTCAATCATTTGTCCTTCGTTGAGAAAGAAAATCAAGTTTTTGTGAGACCGCCAACGCCAGTGGATGCAGGATCAGATACCGAGCCTCAGCTGGGCATCTGGTTTCGTTTTGGTTCTTGTTTTTTCTTTTTTTTTGTTTGCTTCAGGTGACTACTCCTCGTCCTCCCATGGGTCTAACATCTTGGACATGTAAGGACCATCAAGGAAGTACCCGAGACGAGCATAGTAGCTGCGCACGCCCACACCGGAGATAACACTGATCTTGCGACTACCGTGCTCCTCGCGCGCAATACGCTCCGCCTCCTCCATCAACAAAGTTCCAAAGCCACGGTGCTGGAACTTGCGGGCATCACGTCCGTGAAGTGGCACGGCAGAACCGTAGACGTGAAGCTCGCGGACGATACTCGTCTGCTGGCCGGTGAACTCAGGACGGAAGGTGTGAGTCTCACTGCACTTGCGCAGACGAAGCAATCCAATGAGAATATCCTGCTTCGGGTCTTCGTAGGCTAGGAAAGTCTCCCATCCGCCATTGGCGGCGTAGTCACGACGGATCAACTCAATCTGCGATGGACGGATCTTGTTCTTAACTTCGTTGATACCGACTTCTCGGGTACGGACATCACGGCAGGTCGTGCCGAAGTCCTTCATACGCGCTAATGCCAGTTCGCGCAGGTTGCCGTTCTCCACACCGGAGGTAACAAGTGGCATGGGGATATCACGCTGGACTCGGTAGATACGGGTCCACGGGGGAACTAAGGCGAGAATGCGTGCGACAAGGTCAATAAGTGCGTTAGGTGTGTAGTTCTTGTAACGGCCGGTGCGCCACAGCTCGTAGAGACCGGTGCCTCGGATGACAAGCGTGGGGTAGAGTTTGAGACCGTCGGTACGGAAGTTGGGGTTCTCGAAGTACTCCTGGAACTGGAAGAGATCGCGCTCCATTCCAACGTTAGGCAAATCGGGCATCATGTGGCTAACAACCTTGAAACCAGCATCCTTGGCAAGCCTGAAAGTCTCAGCTACTGCTGCTACGGTGTGGCCGCGGTTGGTGTCTCGCGCAACGTCCTCGTACAGACTCTGCACACCAATTTCCAACCGCGTACAACCGTAGCGGAGCATGCTGCTCAGATGTGTATCCAGACAGTAATCTGGCCGAGTTTCGATTGTGATACCCACACATTTCACGTTGCTCATTTCGCCTGCCAGCACGGCCTCGTCAACGTTGTCCGTTTGGTATCCGCTCAGCGCGTTGTGAAGCTGGGAGATGAAAGTGTCACGGTAATCTTCCGGTAGCGACATGAAGGTTCCACCCATGATAATGTATTCCACCTTGTCCACGCTGTGACCGAGAGCTTTGATCTGGTCCACACGTCCTCGCGCCTGCTCAAAAGGATCGTAACGAGCGCGGATGGCTCGCATCGAGGTCGGTTCATATCCAGTATATGATTGAGTCGAGTATTCGAAGTCGGAGTCTGGGCCACCAGGGCAATAGACACAGATGTTACCGGTATATGCAATGTGGGGGCATCGATGGGGTTTGCACATAACCGCCACTACGGCGATACCAGAGGAGGTTCCTATGAACGAGGTTAGCGATAGTCTAGCACTCCCGCTTGGAATATGTAAACGTACGAATCGGCTTCGCAATCAGCTTTGGCAGGATATATTTTTTGTAATGCTCAGGGACTGCCGCGATAATAGCCGTCAGTGGCGGCGAGCTGGACAAGCTGTGCTTCTTCGAAAAGGTAGCCCGCAACTTGTTGAGGTTGAGATCCTTCTTGGGCTTGGTAGAGTCTCTGTGGGACTCATAATCTTGAATGAGAGCATTTGCAATGTCGGAGCACGCTCGCATGAATCGCTCGTTCTCTGGTACGTTCTTTGCGTTCTTCTTGGCGGCCCTTTTAATTTCCTGCGAGGTCATAGTCATGGTAGCCATGGCGAAGAGAATAACACCGCGCCTAGGCGGGAAGACTTTCAATAACCAAAAGCGACAAGTTGTTGTACTTAGTGGGGGTTGAGGTTGATTAGATAGAAAAATGTGGTCGCCGAGGCCTGCGCCCGAAGTCAGTTCCGCTTAAGTAAAATAATTATCCCGAGCGAAAACTCCCGGGTGCGTATCCCGAACACCTGCTCTTTATCCCGTCCTTTTCTTTCTTTCCACCTCACCTCATATACCTCAACTCTCCCCTCATACATAACATCTTGCAGCAATGCAGGCCTTCCGCCGTAACACCCTCTCGGCCCTTCGCAATGTCGGTGCCACCCAGCGTCGGACTCAGGCCACCTCTGCCTACAGCGAGACCTTGAACAACCTTAAGATCAACAAGGACACCCGCGTTCTGTTCCAGGGTTTCACTGGAAAGCAGGGAACGTAAGTGCAATCCACGCGCTTTCATTATCGCACGCGCATGATGCTAACATTTGACCTTGATACAGCTTCCACGCTGAGCAGGCCATCGCCTACGGTAAATATTTATCCAGCCGCGATCGCATCCCAACAATAGCTTACACAGGACAGGCACAAATGTCGTCGGTGGTACCAACCCCAAGAAGGCCGGTTCCATCCACCTTGACCGTCCCGTTTTCGCCAACGTTAGCGAGGCCGTGAAGGAGACCGGTGCCACAGCTTCCGCCATCTTCGTTCCGTATGATCAACCAACATATCTCTCAAAATGCCAGCAAAACAATGCTAACTACAATTAGCCCCCCTCTTGCCGCTGCCGGTATCGAGGAGGCCATCGCTGCTGAGATGGGCCTCGTTGTTTGGTACGTGTTCAGCCGAAGTCCCCCTTGCGAATAACTTTTTCTGACAGCTTCTCGTTCAACAGCATTACTGAGGGTATCCCCCAGCACGGTACGGATCGATCGACTACCAATTGAAGCGCGCGCAAACTGATTGATTTTATCTAGACATGGTCCGCATCACCGACATTCTCAAGACCCAGAACAAGACCCGCCTGATCGGTCCTAACTGCCCTGGTATCATCGCTCCGGTAAGCTACCACTCCAACTTTCTACAATAATTCGACCCGCGCCAAATACTCACACATCTCGTTCAATAGGGTCAATGCAAGATCGGTATCATGCCCGGTTTCATCCACAAGCGCGGTCGTGTCGGCATTGTCTCCCGTTCCGGTACCCTGACCTACGAGGCCGTCAACCAGACCACCCTCGCTGGTCTCGGTCAGTCTCTCGTCGTCGGTATCGGCGGTGACCCATTCTCCGGCACCAACTTCATTGACTGCCTCAAGGTCTTCCTCGAGGACCCCGAGACCGACGGTATCATCATGATCGGTGAGATTGGTGGTTCCGCCGAGGAGGATGCCGCCGAGTTCTTCAAGGCCAACAACATCCACAACAAGCCCGCCGTCTCTTTCATTGCCGGTATCTCCGCTCCCCCCGGCCGCCGCATGGGTCACGCCGGTGCCATCGTCAGCGGTGGTAAGGGTGGTGCTGATTCCAAGATCGCCGCTCTCACCGATGCTGGTGTCATCGTCGAGCGCAGCCCTGCTTCCCTCGGCAAGACCCTTCTTGCCGAGTTCGTCAAGCGCGACCTTGTTTAAGATTGTCGCCCCCTTCTGATGCATCGCGTGTCTTGTTGTCCTGGTTTTAAAGACGGGGATCTGAGGTATATGTGCCATTTTATACTATGGGGTTTTATGGGCTGTTCCTTTTTGGCCGCTCCTGTATTCTTTTTCTCCTTTGTGTTAGAGATCCTTGAAGTAATCATGCTCGTGTAATTATTACTGTGTGCTGCTTGTGCAAAGTAGATGGTAGAAATATGTAAACATATGGAAACCATTATTTTGAAGTCCACGTCGACCGGTATTCGTTTTCATGGTCATACCGCACATCTATAGTAAAATATATATGTCTTTAGAAGAAAGCACAAATTGTACGGAATAAGAGAAGCTGCCATGCTTCGCCACCCCAGCTAGCAGTCATGGTTCTCGAAGAAAGAAGAATTTGATACCAATTCATTCACTTCAAGGGGATTGGGCCAAAATTCGAATTTTAACAACATCAGCTATGAGAGGGAGAACATATATTCCAGACTACTAGATATAATTCCAGTGTTATATCAGGTTATAATGGTTGACGGCATTACAGAAGTCAGATATGGACGACCTTGAGCGATGCTTTACCATCACTCATTTTGTTCAGCCTAACTTTGATTTCCTTTGGTCTGGGATTTCAGCTCTACGTCTTCTCACTTAGGGCTCTATTTCATGAATGTCTACTCCGTACAGATATCTACAATATCTACAAGTCAGACTACAGAAACACGGACCAACATATTGTCTCTCTCATCCCCTGTATGCATTTGTGTGTATGTTGCATGCATATTATATGAACAGAACAAAAACGAATTAATACAGAACTGCGTGGCGGGTTGCCACTACATGAAAATATAGTTGCCTTTGCCCATGGACAAGGATAGACTAGGTCCCAGGGCGCCTCTGGGTCCTAGTCCCCTCGCCTTTAAGCTCAGGTCAACTTTCACAACTTCCCCAAACCCCTCAACTTCTCGTCCAACCTCTCCATAATCTTTCTTTTGATGTCCGCAGACATCACCAATTCCTCCTCCTCCCTCCATTCATCGTCCCCCCACTCCACGGTGGGACTGGGGCCCTCATCATCTTCCCAATCACTCTCAACCTCCTCCTCGAATTCCGACTCACAGTCACTGAGGTCTTCGTCTGCCTCAGTGCTGTCACTCTCGTCTGATTTACTCCCCAGGAACTCGTCTTCGTTGTCCTCCCTGTATCGGAGCTCCCACTTCTCCCACTCATCCCACTCATCTTCCTCATCGTCATCGATTGTTGGAAGGGGGATGGGCTTCGTGGTGTCCCCATCAGTGAGGGGCCATGCCCACTGGAGAAGGGTGTCCATCTTGTCGGTGTAGTCCTCCGCATCAAAGTTGAGTGCTTGGGTATAGGCTACTTTGAGTCGGCCGTCGTCGAAATACCCATGCAAAACTCGAACTCGAGCATCGGGGAGGAAAGAAATGACCATGGTCTAAATAGCAGTCAGCCATTCAGTTATGTCCTGGCAGACAATTTGGTAAAGTGTCTGAACTTACCGGGAAGTCATGCTGGGCACGCTCTTGTCGGTGGTACCTGCGGAACTGGTGCTTGTGGTTTTTGATTCCACTAAGCATCCATCGAACAAGGACCATGAGCTCCCCAACTGACGGGAGGATGCCATGGTAGCAGTTGTCGCTTTCCATGACGACGAGTTGATGAGCGGTCTTTCCATCAGCGCTCGTGGCTCCCATTTGAATGGTGAAGCCGTGCTTATCGTTGCTGTTGAAGAGACTTTCGTCTTCTTCCATGCTACATTTACCAAGGATTAGTCTTTGGGCTGTTTCTACTGGGAACTTAGACTTACGAGACCAGGTCCCAGAAAATGGGGGTACCTCCGGGGGATTTGCGGAGGTACTTCGAAAATGCCTGGTGGAGCTTATGATGCATCTCTTGGGGGATGAAGTCTTGAGCATGCTTCATTGCTTGAGCCCTCGTGAACGGGTCGTCCACGGGGTTCTTGGGGTTGAGTGCAGTGTTGGCGATTTTGAGGTCGGTGTCGGTATCGGGTGTGAAGAATTGGACGAGGGAAGGATCGGTGTCCCCAGTCCAGAAATCCATGGGGTGGATATCAATATTACAACACTGGTTTGATATATAACCAGGTTGCATGTAACGGAGGTTTTTGTAGAGCTTCCGGAGACTGTGCTCCTTTTGCCCGAAGAGCCAAACCCAGAGAGGAGGGCACATTGTGAAACCACCTGGGGATGGGAATGATGTGAAGAAGGAAGAAAAAAAAGAGCAAGTGCAGGAAACGGGGGGTCTTTTATGTCTTCTCTTGGCTGAGTCTGCCTCCGATTTCCAGAACTATATCTACTATGCCTAAATAAGATAACGGCTAGGTTATACTCACGGATTCACTCCGTGTGTCAACAAGAACCAAGCCTAAAGTGAACTGACTTCAACCTATAAAGCTTGTTCTTCATTGCTGGTGTTCTTCCGACGCTGCATTGGGTAGCGGGTGGCTCCTGCCGAGCTGTGTGCTATACTTCATACATACGGTAAAATAGGACTGTGTGCTCCGATTTCCCAGGGGGCATCGGCCCCTTTCGTGAAGAAAGGTTATTTGATAGTAAGACGTAAGTGTGAGCAAGGTGAGACTGAGGTAAAGATATCATGATTTTATTGTAAGAAGTCAGATTGAGATAAAAGCTGTGTAGGTAGATGGCTGAAGAAAGCACACAAATTAATCTACCTAAAAACCTACGGTATTTCAACCCAGCCAGAGGCTGTGAATGTTTCCCTCGACAGCCGGAGTTCGTGTTAATTATATACTTAGAGATATCAACTTGAATGCTCCGACATATAGCTTTATAATACAATTCACAGACAGCATTTCAAAGTCGGATTCAAAACGCCTGAAATAGAGGCCCAACCCAATGATTCGGTCTTTACAATAAGTGACGATGAGCCAAGACTTGTACCTAGTTGACCAATATCTAGCCCATCCCGACCCAAGCCACTGCAGATCAATAGAGCAATATATGCATGAGGTTCTACAAAAAATTGCCGTATAAATACAAGATTTTGGACGTTCGAAGGCGGAAGTGCTAGATTCACTACTGCTTATCGTGCAAGCGTGAACTGAACAGAACATGCTGCCCCCTTTGTCTACTTGAATATGACGTTGAGCCGTGTATTTAAAGTAGAGTTTCTGTTTCCAGTTGGTTAGGCTACGACCCTTTCCTACATGCTGTTCATTACAGGGATAGAAGAGCATCCCGACGAACTTATTAACCTGTACGAGGTATGAGAAGGAGAGAGTGAGAGTGCTGGCTCGGGGTATTTTGAGTTATCATGGGTTTTTTAGTTCCACGATCGACCAAGATAGCCTAGGACTTGCGTGAAGGAAGTATAGGCTCGCCTAAATTCAACAACTCAGAATTGAGACCATTATGTTGTGTATGTTCAGATGAAATCACGCTAGTTTTGAATCCCACTCAAAGCCTTAACAACCTCCTTCGTGGCAAATACATCCGCAAATTCACCATCGAGGCTAGCAACAGTAACTTTGTGAATAGTCTCCGCGTCAATTCCAGCCTTTCCAAAGGTAGCCGTGGCATCCTCAACAAGTACAATACGCCCCTTATCAACTTCCACATCATTTTCATGAGTCCCATCCGATCTCAAGCGAACGGGTCCATCTCTAAGATACCGATCCACAACCCCAAGATTAGCGGCCATTCGTACAGTAGTTGAAACACAATGATCAGTCGTCAACCCAGCAATGATAAGCTGACGAAAGCCCTTTTCACGCAAATGCGCTTCAAGTCCAGTTCCGATGAAAGAGGAATTGACAGTTTTCCAAAAGACAGGCTCCGACCCATCTGAGGCAGGGGTGGCGAAGTCTAGAGGACGGGTACCCTGTCCGGGGTTGGAGGGGTGGAGCAGAGATCCCGGGGTTGTGGAGGAGTGAAAAATGTGGATCACCTCCAGCAGCGTTGAGGAGGAGGATCTCGCAGATCGGAATGCGGAGAGGAGTGTTTGGAGGTTGATTTCATAGCTCGGGTTGGATCGCGTGGTGCCCCAATAGGATATTGTCTTGGCATCACTGAAGGCTGATTGGTTGTCTATCAGGATCAAAGCTGTCGGAAGAGTAAATTCCAATGCCATTTTGTCAAGTCGGGTTTCCAATTGCCAAAGTACTGCTTAATGGGATGTCTCTGAGATTTTGGTGAAGTCGAAACTCTTGAAAGTTTTTCTCATACGGCTCTACGGAGTAGGGTTGTGGCTTTTGCGTGACTCACCCCGCTCACTAATCAACATTAGAAACACCAGGCTTTCGTGTCGACATTGGAATTTTGATACCTTCATGTTTTTGGCTACATAGACTAGTAAAGGGGCTAGTCTTCTAGCTTCCAGCTTCTTGGCCCATTATAGAGAGCAAATTTTTCCGCTTCTCAATTCTAAGCTTTTTCGCCAGTTGGCTTCATTTTTGACGGCTATTATTCACTACATTGTGTTAGGACGAAAGCTATATTGTCTGCTCGTTGATCAATCAGAGTTGCTTTAGGCAAATGTCTAGCTTGGGGTTATATAGCTACACTACGCTCGAAAAAGATACGTCGTATCGCTAACCATTCTAATAATTTTACTCTATCATTAGCATGCCCAACTTGGCCTATTGATCTAGGGGTTAGCATCAGCAATAGTACTTCTTCCGTCAAGACAAGTAACAAGTCAACCGTTGCGCATGATTAAACTTATTGCTAGGAAATTTTGAATGACCAAAATAATATTATTCTAGCCTCGTAAGGCTTCCAACCCTACCCTAGGCTGGTCCGTAGCCCGATAAACAAAGACACTGAAATTCCCACACGTCCGTGTTTGATATTTCGTACATTTTGCTGGGCTCGGTCAGTCAATGCTTTGAAACCTGGAAGCCCTGCTATCGAGGTCTCCAGGCAACCGCGACGCTAAGCACATTACAATGTATGTTGTATATACCTTCGGTGCTATGACCTTAGGTCATTATGTGTGCTTCTATGCATAACAGACATAAAGCGTTGAGATACCAACTCGATTCTCCTTTCTCTCCCTCCTTCTCCTTCTTCCTACTCTCTCCACCTTCTTGCGTAGTAAATTGAAGATTCGCCCTGTGTTCTCTTTCAGGCTTCCCGTAGGAGTACTCCGTAGAACTCTCTACACTAGATTGGCTAGCGTATCACTCGTGAAATTCGGCCTAAGATGATCAGCAAAAATGGTATCAATAAACCGGAAGGTGAAACATTGGCTGTCCCGCTAAGAAAAAGCCTAGGATGCTTTTAGAGGAAGGGATAGGGATAGGTATAACGTCTTATAAGTATTATCATAGTACGGAGTACTCCGGACAGGGCAACAAAGAAAATTCCACGCTAAGAAAGCCACACGACCCGCAATTCCCAAGTTTGAAAGGCCTAGAACATATAAATATTAGAATATCGAAGCCTAGTATCTCTACTTATCCTCTAATCTTTGTCGCGACGTGGTTAATGGCCCCAAACATAAGAAGTTCGTTTATTGGTATATCTGTATCTGTCAGGTTGACGGTTGATAAGGCACAATATTTGCGTCAATTGGGATATTTTCAACCACAGGGCAGTGCAGATGATAACAACCCCAATGAGGCAGTCAGAAGGTGAAAGCCGCATGGCACTTACGCAAACCCCTGTTGGGGAAATCGAGTCAAAACTCGAGAGGGTGTGCTCGAAAAAAGTCTAGAGAAAATGGCTGGCCAGCGTATGTTTATACGACGGAACAAGCGGCAAACATGTGTATGCTAGTAACCGATTGGAACTAGTGGTGATTAGCAGTCATTGGCCCCCAGCCCCCTAAATTTAAACCGCCCCCAAAAGCTGCGACATAGAAACCTAAAAGCCAGTTCTTTGCTGCGGACCTGAAAACCGGTCCTGAAAACCGGTCCTCTCCTGCGACATAGAAACTGAACCCCTGCATGACAAGGATGAGGTGTGATAGCGTAGACACAACGCAGCAGGTTGTATCCAACCAAAGAGAGTGTGGGTCCTCGGGCGTCCTTCTCTATCGCGCGAATTAGATACATGTCCTGGGTTGGTACTCCGTAAATAAAACGTGCTTGCTTTTGTTCATGGTTCATGGGGTTGAAATGGTTCACACGTGGGAACCTATTTCCGTATGTGTATTTGTGTATTTTATTATTTTTGAAATTGCAAATACACAGTACTCGAATACCAGTTATTCTTTACATCAATGTTGGTACTCTTGGAAGGTCGATTTCGAGGGGGCCTACCCTAATGAATTCTCTATCAGAGTGACCAGGGTATAAGGGTGATTGTTTTTAATAACAGTGGGCGCAGTACACACTGTAGAGAAAATCCCACATATATTTGAAAAATTTCCCTTTCTCCTTTCCGGTAATCTCTTCACTCCAGATATCCTGACCTCGAAAGTACCTTGAGCCAAAGTCATATTCAATATCCAGAGTCCCTGGGACCCCTATGAGCAACAGAGGGAAGGAATTCCTGTGCGGTATGAGAAAGAAGTGACCAAGTATGACGAGTTGTACTGATCTTAAAAAGGCTTGAGAGGATCAACATGAATAGCCCTGAATATTTCATTAGCTGGGGGTCAGAGAGACACGTTCCACTACGACGATTCGAAACCCTCCAGTCAGCACGCCGTGACCTCATTCGGTATTATAGAGAGGTCTTCGAGACAGCTCAAACCTTTACACAGCATTTCTCGAAACAGCCGCTAAATAGTTACGAGATGGAAAGATCGCTAAGGAAGAATATGGGCTGTGGCCCTTCCTGCCTGGATGAAGATGCAAGTAGCACATCTATTTGTTGGTTGGACATTGTTCGGCATGGCGAGTTCCAGCAACAAAGTGATGGATGTTACCACTGTTACATTCAAGGGAAGGTGTTTGTCCACGACGAGCAATTACACAATAGGGTCGACTTTTGCCGAAGCCATGCGCTTCACATTTCCAATTCGGGGCCAAGCGACGCAGATATAGAAAGGGAGTCGAAGGCCACGTTGGATATATTTACTGATATCTCCAACGAACTAAGTGACATTTCAAATTGTCTGTACTCACCCCCTCACAAAACTTTGCAAGCGATATTCTAACTAGAACAGATACGAAAGGTCTAGTAGACCTTCAACGAGAAGTGGGGATACGCCACAGCGAGGTTCAACTCCTCCGACGACCTGTCATAATATCGCCCAAGCCAACCAATTCACCGCAGTACTTGACGCCACTTGAGCCCGATACAGCTGGACCCACTGGGAGAACCCATGCATCAATTCCGGCGGAGGCAGGCGCATCTAGTGACTCAAGCGGATCGGAAAACGGTTCCGACGACGACCGCGATGAAGATTCAAGTGAGGATGAGTCAGGGGACGAAGACGCAGAGGAAGATGGTCCAGAGGATAAGGGACTACATGACAAAGGGACAGAAGATGGCAGTTCCAAGAATGACACCAGTCAACAGAGCAACAATAACTCTGACAATGGAGGCAATGCGCCACCAGATGATGCCATAGTCGTTCCACCAAGCCTGTTGTTCTCGAGAACTCCATCTTCGATGTCTTTGATAGCAGAAGAGGAGAATGTCATCTCAACAGGCCATGCTTCTCTGCCAGGAGAAAATGGAAATGCTGTTTCCGTGAACAACGCGCCCTCGAACTATTCATCGCGCACCTCTTCGCTAACGGTGAATGAAAATGACACCCCAATGGATCATGTATCCCTGAAAGAAGGGCCCCAAGTTGATACGCACCTATCGCCCCAAAAGGGTCCCAAGCGGGGTGGGCGCAATACGCTCAAAAGTAAGGGTCCATCTCGCCGCGCAGCCAAACGACGGAGATTATCCAATGTATCGGAAACACAGGAGGAACTTCCGGAGACCAGTAGGAAGTCCACTTCTCAAGAGAGGTCAATCGGTGTGGCCTGGATGAAGGCCAATTTACACAGAGGCTGGAGCGGAAAAGCTTTGGCAGAGGAATATTTCATCGAATTTGGCCGTACCCGACAATACGGAACACTCAAGAGCTGGATGGACAAAGATAAGGCTCAAGCGGAGAGCTATATTGTGGTATTGAAAGTTCCTATTCCGTTTCTACAAGAGGCATTATTGAATGACGATTCTTCATAGCCGATGCCGGACCTTTCAAATGACCACGTACCTTCATCCATTCAATATGGGCCCTTGGAGAATCCGCAGAATCGGTCACACGATTATAGCACGGCTTTAGCTTCCTAGTCACCTATCGAGATAGGAAGTGGTCTTCCGAACTTGCTTCCGAATTTGCTAGACTAAAGGATTAAGGGAGCTATTTATGTGGCTATCAGAGGTATCGTTCAGGTAGAAAGAAGCATGGTCTAAGTGGAAAAGAAATGGAAAGAATCACACTTGGCACTTGGTATAATTTGAAACCCTTAATACAAAATGGAAGGATTGATATGTATAATAGAAAGTTTGTACAATGGAATCTGGTGATATTTTTATCGATGTGAAGATCTCTTTTTGTCTCGCTCTCGCTTCGTCGGTATTTTACTGGATGCTAAGATCAACTGGCGTGTTCAATCTCATCTTATGAAACAACAACTTACCCAATCAATTTAAGGGTGGCGCAATTAGGACATTGAAGTGGAAGCTAAGAGGGAGGGTTAGGTACCGTATTACTATGTGTACAGTACATGTACCGTATCCGTATGAATATATTACGGTATCGCCTGAATACGGATGTTTTTTGCAATTTATAGAAACTGGCACGTTCACGGCCCCGGGGGCCAGGCCAAGCAAGGCTGACTAGATACGGAGGAAAGAGGAAAGAGCAGTCCCGGCTAGCTGACGGTAGGCGCAATTGTGACATGTCTTTGCTCTAATATCTCGCGCCTATTCTTATTGGTCTAGATGGTGTTGATCTTTGCAAGGTAGTCAATTCCTTTGGAGAAATTGGGAAGCCCCCCCCCCCCCCAAGCCGCCTTTCAAAGCATTGGATAAGTAGAAGCTGCCATCTTTTTATACTTCCAGTTGGACTCACTTTAATTTCACAGCCTGCTTCTTGCTTTTGCGCTCAACCCCTTTCCCACGTCTATCTATAGGAACTGCTCTCACACCATGACTAGCAAGTCTATAGTGCAGGCATCAAGTGAACCGAATGTTGAGCTCAAGTCATACATCTCATTAGACCGTTCTTTACACGATGCTCGTGAGATCTATGAGTCTTTTGCGTCTATCGTCGAGAGCAGCAGACCGCTGCCAGCCAACTTCAGCGGGTCTCTTTTCTACTTCCAAGTGCAAAATAGGATTGCGAAATTCTTCAGCAATCCACGGCCACGTCTAGTTGAGCCTGAGGATTATTTTGATACCCCTCTGGAGTGGACGGACGTTCTTCGGGAATCTCTCGCCCCTGAAAGTTTCAAGCACGCGCGAGATGATCTATACCACTGCTGTGTCCAGGGAAAATGGATCGAAGTTACCGAGAATGATCGCTCTGAAATTCTGTGTGGCGTCCTAGAGGGGCTTATGGATTCTCTGACCCGCATGTCGGAGAGTCGTCAACGTCAGAAGTTTCAGAATCATTTCGATGAAACCTTCGAGTTTGTCCAAAAATGTAAGTCTCACTATGCTCTCAAGATGCGCTTCAATCCTAAAGTCAAGTTATCACTTAGTGAACGCGGACATGGCAAAAACCAAGCAATTGATCCAAGAAGCCAATAACACGCAGAACGGAGACACCGGTGACCGTGATTCTTATGATTTACTTGACTTGAATCCACCGCCATCAAGGGACAGACTGCGCATATCAGACAAAAACTTGGGCCCAACTCCGCCGAGTATATCCCCTCCCCTATCCACTACTCCAGAGACTCTGCCAACTGATGCGGGGAGGAAACCCGACACCGCTGAGAATCAAACAAACATAAGCGCCAGTGATGGCATCGTGCCTAGCGAGAGCGAAATTTCCAACAAAAATACAGGGAACTTCGCACGTAATATGGAGGCTGATACTCTATCTGTTGTCTGCGAAATCCCTAGCACCAGCAACAAAGAGACTAGCCGTCAACCCCCCAGCACCGTCAATAAGACTTTTCGTCCAATAGTCAGCGCCATTAGCAAGGTTGCTGTCAGTCAAACTCCTGTTGACGTCAACAAAGTGACTGGCTCTCAGACCCCTGCTGCTTTCAATAAGCAAGCTATCAGTCAGAGCCCCAGGGCTGTCAATAAGTTTGCCGTCGATCAACCCACCAACAATGTTGTTAGTCAAGCCCTTAACACCGTCAGCAAAATTACTGTCGGTCAGGCTCCTACTACCGCCAACAAGGCTACTGTTAATAAACCCACTAAAAATGCTACCAATCACACCCCTCGCGCTGCTAAAAAGGGGGGTATTTCCAACAACAAAGCTGCCAGTCAAACCCCCAGCACTACAAAAAGGGTTGCTGCTATCAAACCTGCCAAAAATGCTGTCAACAACGGTGTTGTCGGTCAACCTGCGAGTAGGACATTGGCTCAGACTCCGCGTGTCGTACACCAGGATTATATTAGTCAAGCTATCAACAATGCTGAAAAACAAACCCCTAGAACCGGGGCAACCTTTCAGACCTCTGGCGCTGTTGATAAAGTGGCTGCCCCCCAACAAGCCCCTAGCACCATTCTTGAAGATTTCGTCAATCAAAACTCTGAAAATGTTCACAAAGAGGCTTCTGGTCAAACCACCATTATCGACAAACAGAGAGGCAACGATGTCATCACCAATAAACGGACTAGCCATGTAGCCATTGGCACCGTTGACGGTTACTCGATGTACACAAATGACGTGACTACCCAATCTACAAACAAAGACACCCCAAATGCCGTCGATAAGGCTGTGGTGGGGGATGATGAGGACGTTGAATCCGTTGGATCTGATATCCCGTACGATGTTAACAGCCATCTCACATCAAATTTAAACACCGCAGTGGCACAATTTGAAGCGATCAGAAGGGGCGATGTCTCGGTTCAGCTCTCAGCACAGGCCCGCCGCGAGGCCTTGGTTGCTCGATATAGTCAGCCACTGCGCGGGTCTAAATCGTACACTTCTCGGGAGATCGAGGAAGCACCAGGGTTCATACAACATGTTTTAGAACAAGGATACTCCCACCAGGAATTGGAAGAAGGATATAATTGGATTTTCTGTCCCAATTATCCTCGGACATCGGCAGGGCTTTTAAGAAAGTTTATCGATGGCCGTAAAAGAAAATTGGATCTTACAATGTCTCAATCTCAAGATTCAGCCAAGAGGCTCAAGGGTCCAGACTCCGGTATAACAACCATCCCTTTATTTGCATTCATATGAGACGTCACTAATTGATATATGTGTACAGCCAAGCCACCCTCGCCTTCACCTAGTGAGTGGTCTACCCAGTGAAAATCTGGCCAGGTCTCCATTGGGGGACAGAAGCACGGCAACTATATAGTAGTCGGTGGTGGATAGATTAGAAGATACGTTTATCTTCTTGGGTTTGCGGAAACTCTTGTAGTTGTGACGAGCAATGCCTCGCCCATCTATTCAAGTAGCATAGGGGAATGCAATCTTGGATATCTCCCACCCTGGGGAACTTGCGAGTCTTGAGGTATTTGAATTCGGTCCTCTCTTATTCCGCCTTAGCCCAGGGGTGTGTAACATTGAAGGGGCTGGGGGAGAATGGGGGCGGGGGGTAGTCATCGGGGTCTTCGTCTTCATCAATTCGGGGGCACCTGTCGCAGTTTTGAAGATTCCATGGTTAGAAGAAATCGAGCATCCCGACTTAGCCTGTTGGCCTCCAGGGGTACGGGGAGATATGCCTATCTCCCTCGACAGGTCCAATATCAAGATTCACAGTTCCTGAACAGGTGATTCCTAGGCTTTGCAGGAGGTGAAGTCGGACCCTGAGTCTCTGTAAGGTCGTGTAGAGGCCATATAACAAGTGAGGTGAGGTCCCCTACCCTAGAGACCTATAAGATTATTTTGAGAGGATTTATACTGTGACATAGTAAGCACAAAGAAGCTCTCTCGGACCAAACAGCTTTGGGCGTACCAAGATTTGAACTCCCGGGTCACAACCATTTCAAGTACGTAGTTTTGACTCTGATATTATCTAAGAGCACTAACTCAGCTTCCCACATACCTTCTGTGACAACTTACCTAGGGTCACTTTCACAACACGAAGGTCAGTGATTATTACTTGATACCGGTTTGCGGTAGCTAAAAAATTATCTAGCAGCTCATCTTGACTTTTCTCACTTCTCATTTACGAAGCAACATCATGAATCGCGCCGAAGGCAAATATGGGCCTCGAGATCCCGGAGCACCCCAACTAGGGGCATTCTCAAAGATCTCGCTTGAACTTCGTTGGATGATTTGGGAATATGTTTTCGACGAAATACATTCAACGCCTTTCGCTTTAGCTATTATGTGCTGCAGCCGACATCTCAATCGAGAGATATCAGATCGTCTTTTCGAGGATTTTGAACATGAATTTCGAGTTGAGAGCGGCCTGAGATTCAATTTTACTATGAAGCAAATGCGCAGCCAAGGATGGGAATTGAAGAATATCGAAGACGTTCGCAGACATCTCCACAAATTTCCTTGGGCAAGAGTCGGGGGGACAATGTTTGTTAACATTTCACCTCCAGCCCGAGAAGATCCTGGTCAAATCGTGCAAATTTGGCAGAAAGTCACCCAACTCGTCGACACATTGAATACGGCGCCTTCTGCTCTCTTGGTATGGGTGACTCTGCTAGAGGATTGGTCAAGTGGTGAGAAACCGCAACAGAGTATCCCATACACCACCGCCACTGGATATCGCCCCGATCATGATATTGCGATTCTCCCTTTCACGTACCTTTCAAATTGGTACTATCGAACGTCACCCGCCTACTCTGCTACGATAGAAAATGAAAGAGATTTACCAAGAAGGTCCTTTTTATTCAAATACGGAACGGATTGCGCATTGAATGAGTGGCGCTATATTACCACAGGAGACTTCTCGAATTGGCACACTGATACAAGAATCTTTCTTGATAGAAAGCTCGATCATCTCCCCGGTGACACAGCTGGGGCTCTTCGCCTGGAACGATTCCAAAACTGGTTCCAGGATGGCTGGGTATCAAAATACGAAACACAATTCACTGCCGATCTTCAGAAACACCAAAACATTGTTCAAAAGCATGACCCGGGGCTAGTTGGGATTAGAAGGAGACACAAGTTGTTAATTCTACTTCACCATATCTATCATGCCTCGAATGACGACCAAGAGAAAGTAAAATCTGGCTTGACTAGAATGCATTCGCTAGTTTACGGGAAGTGGGATTCTCAATTTTGGTCAAATTGCTGGGGGAAGTATATCCCTGCTCTCAGCTTCCAGTTGATCGAGGACAGGTTGGCCAAGCAATATTGGTATCGTGTGTATTGGAACTATCGAAAATTCACGGTGTTTGGAATGATTTTGCGTGGAGCGACTTCCACTACTTTTACCATTCATGACAGTGAATGGAATTGATGTTGCTAGCAGAGAGTTTGCTGATCCTGCAAAATGAGATTCTTTGCAATATATGTCCACCTTTGAACCTTTTGTCTATGAATCTCTGTAGGTGTACTTGTCTCTTAAATATTTACTCCGGTAGGCCTAATAGGGTACTAAACCGCAATTCGATCCGACATAAAGGTATATAACTGGCCAGGGATGTTCACTCGTCACTTCCTGCTCACTTCTGACTTGGCGCACCTTCCCAGCTCCCTTGGGTGCTACAGTACACTAGCACTTGCCTCATCTAGGAGTATCACTTCTTTTTTGATCCTACTGTCTATATTCTCTTTTTTTTTTCTTCTTCCTCTTCCTCTTCCTCTTCCTCCTGTGAACTAATTGCGCCACGCGCCCAACGCCAGGTGTTATGGTGTTGGGCGCTTGGGAAATTATGTCAAAAGTACTGCTTAGTTACAGTAACTCTATTCATGTATTACTGACTGAATTTCCAGGAAGAGCGAGCAGAGTGTCAATCGATCAGAGCTACAATATCTTTGAGACGCCGGACTTGGAGAGGACCGTCCGGCCACAGGAATTCTACCTTCGCTACGGCGACTTTACGGACCGAGTTTGGAATTGCTCTCGCCATGTCCCGGGTTTTTGGCCATCTCGAATTGTTGTTGTCACCAATGCTCGAGTAGAGGAGGCTCGGGCTTTCGATCAGTGGAGGCCAAGAGGGCAATTTTGGGATATGCAAAAATTTGATCCCAAAACTCAAGCACTGGAGCTATTACAAGTCAGATCTGAGAATGATGAGTGGATTTCCAAGCTGTATAAGAGCTAATGTCATCCTCAACCCGGAGCTTCTCCGTCAGGTTCTTTGAACCAGACGATCCAAGAGACATGCAACTTCGCCCAGTTGTTTGTGTTGATGTTGCCACAGAGCACCCATCACATCAATGACAAAACACTCACAATAAAGATGCGAGCCATGCTGCAGGTGGAGCACCTCCTACTGGCATTGCTATGCTTGGAAAAGCGCAGGGTACGTGAGATGGTATGTTATAATCTTATGGTATTTGAATCTAAGACGAAGATTCTCAGTCGGTCGATTAGAACAAGCTCGGCGAGCTTTGCAACGTTACACCCACTTCTGCTAGAACTGTCTTCGGCAAGCGAGCGGGCTCTAAATCCAGGCTGAACGATATCTACCCTTCACCCACAATGAACCGCAAAGAAAAATCCATCCACTTAGCTAGTCTGACCACGCGTGTACTCCGTGTTGGTAGTCCAATCCCAATAAATACCGTTGGCCCCATCTCCATTCATGATCCAAGCCTCACATCCCGACAGGAATGGCTTCTCAAAGCCATCCTTGAAGTTGGCCGCCTTGTAGAATTCCGTCGTGATGTCCTTATCCATTCCACAGATCGGTCCACACCAGTAAGGACGTTCATCATACCCGTACGGGTGGAGAATATCCCCCTTCTTAGAGTAAATGTAGTCGGGGTTGTTGATGGTTTTACTGACATCGCACACGGGAATAGTCCAGACACCCTCCATGCTCGCACCTTCCGAGTAAGCGTTAGCACCGGAAGCAAAGATCTCGCCCATACGGCTGGTCATGGTCGACACGCTGTAGTTATTGCCAGCGGCCTGGAAGGACTTGAGAGATGACTTGACGGCGTCCTAGATACGAGAAAAGGTTAGTTTGCTATGTGTACTATAGACGTGTCGGGATCATATACCAGTGGATTGAGATTCTTCCAGAACGGCCCCGAACCCTGGTATATAGGAGATGCGCCCATGCGATCGGATCCCCAGGGCCGGGCAACCCATCCGTCAGTCTTCGTCGATGGACCATTCTGTTTCTGCCAGTAGTACAGGTACCAGGCGCGGTTGTTGTCATCGCAGATAGTATTGTCGCCGGAGCCGGCAATACCGTGGCCGATGTCCTGGCCGTCGCCACAGGCGCCACCGCCGATAATAAACACACGCTGCATACGCCATAGAGAGTTGATCATCATCGACTGCATGATGGCAATCATGGAATCCCGAGCTCCGTTCTTCTGCAGTCCTGGGTAGTTGACCCAGGAACCACCCTGGAGGTAAGTGCGGATATCCTCGCTGGAGCTTCCGTAGCCATGGCCGAACATCAGCTCATTGTTGGTACTAATAAATGAACCTGCGATATCGTTCACTGCCTGCGCCATGATATGGCCGAGATTGGCCTGTGTGATATCGGATGTATCTCTGTGCGGGGATTTAGTACTTGTAATAGGTCAGAGATCTTTCTTGGTTAGAAGGGGACTCACGTCGAAGAAACAGCTATACTGGCTGCACCCACTCCACCGCTAACCATGCCCGAGGCTGCTCCTGCGATGGTGGGTAAAAGAGAACCCTTCATCATTTCCGAGAGAGCAGGCGCCCCCAACCCGGCAACGGCAACACCAAGCACGGTAGCGATTGCATTCAGAATCTCCTTCAAGGCCGTTGGATCCCACTTATTCTCATCGTGCCAGAAGTTATTCACGATCTCATCGTTATCCAGGGCGGAGACGACAGCAGCGATATTGAACGATTGCTCCAGACCGAGGAAGAAGCCGTGTAGGTTGTTGAGCGCCTGCAGAACATAGTACGTCTCCTCGGTGCTCTTGCCTAGGGCATTAATCTTGGGGTTGTTACAGACCGGGATATCGCAGTTGGCGTCGTTGCCGTTGTTCTGGCATGACCAGCCAGGCTGGCCCAGTGCGTATTGGCCGAAAGCACCGGCGAATCCGTATGGGCTGCTCGTCCGTTGGTCCGCGTTCTCGGTCCACCAGTTATTAAGCCAGTCGTCAGTCTTGGCGTTATTCCATTTTTCGATGGTGGGGTTCTGGGTAAACTTTCCGACTGGGCCGCAGGGGTCATTGCTGCTGTCTCGGATGCTTTTGTTGGGGGATGGGCCGTAGGGGATGGCAGTTGCCTGGAGGACAACCGCTGCCCATGTGCCCATGGAAAGCAGAGTAGATGCAGAAAACATGTCACTGTGCAGCCTAGATGAGACTGAATGTCTGACTAGTTCTGGTGCGAAAGATGAGTATTTTAGAATTTCCGAGGTATTCCAAGCTTCATATATCTTGAAATTTGCCGCTATCAACAATGGGGAAAGTGGATTTCGCACACGATCAACAATATCTTTGTTCTCTTGGCAGTCTGTTAGATCTGCAGGGGAATTAGCACTGTCCAGAAAGGTACATGGTGCAAGAACGAGCAAGAAAGTGTGTCAATCACCTTCTCTTCTGAAGTAGGCATGTGGATGTGGATGTGGAGTGCTCTCTCACGATACCATATCTCCACTCTATATTCTCCGTAGTCGCTATTCCTGTCAAATGATGTTGGATCGGAAGATTGATTTTCGGTAAGTAGTAGTCAACCTAATTGCAACTAGAAATTTAGCTGGACTTCGAGTTACTCATTCATGGCTTCATATGATTGTTCAGAATATACCAAGCTCCCAAACCACGGTGAAGTCCTTAAGGGAGACACAACCGGTTAAACAAATTCTGACTTAGCACGGTCGAAAGTATTGATCGGCCTAATGCTATCTACAGCGAACATTGTAACGCCCCGTGGTAGTGGATGTATTTTAGAACGCTTCTCAACGATCGGCATGGATTCAGCTAATCGGCCCATTGTATCTGCCATAAATGTCTCAAAGAGAGAAGACGAAAGCGGGGACTGAAAGACATCATAGGGTCAAAAGGATGGGCGGCAGGGATGAACGTTCCTGCTTCTTGCCGATACGGGCTGGTGGAGATGACAACGGTTTCTGTTAGATAGAAAATGACGATCAAGGGGTCCTCACTTATCGCATAGGGTTGCATTTATTTCTTAGTTTCAGTATTTCCATGTTTGGCCCCCAGTCGCCATCAACCCTTATCGTTACACTTGGGTCGAGGTTGAGCTCATGAGGACAGACACTACGGGGTACCCGCCAGGATATATGGAGTAGGTGTGAGATGGGGTGTTTTGAAATGAGGGATGCATTAAATGTCTGGGCTTTGAGTCGGAATAGAAGAATACATACGTATAGAAGAATTGAACTTGCCCACATCGTCACTTGATTGTCTAACGAACCATACATCAACAATTGAACACGATCTGGAAGCATGTCAGCTATGGATTTAGCCCCCATAAGTGACGTATAATCCGTTCATCTCTTATTCGCTAGACTAGCCAATCTATCACTGTCTCATTCAATGATAGTTGTGTGGACGATGAATATGGAGTAGCCGGCCTGAGCCCACAGTAGGTGGGACTTAGCCTCAAAATCAGAACCCAATCCTAAGCCCATATATGTCACTCACGGGGCAATCGAAACCTATTCCCTTCATGATTTTCCTAATTAGGCTGTGCCAAGATGTATGAACCTGCTAGTGCAAATTAAAGAATGGTTATCTATTGCAGTTTTAGTCTCCGCAGCATCTTATGAGACCCACTCACCACCAGTGTCGCGTGTGCTTGGGGATGAATGTAAAAAAATCATTTATTCTTGTTTAGCCAGAGATGGATTGCGGAGAAGGACCATGGTTCATACGATTTAAATTGCACTGTGTCAATGTGGTATCACAAGAGCAGGAGTTCCCATGTCCTTCAAAATCACTGTATACAGGGTAGTAGAGCTTGGTCCTCTGACGAAACAAGCAATTGCTGTCGATCTTGGATCTTGGCAAAATATATTTAATGCGAAATTTCTGGATGAACTGTTTGTGAATACGGCAAATGAAGAGCCTGGAACAGAGTTGTCTATTGGGCGCAATATTTCAAACGCCAACGCCTTTATTGACTCTTTTTCGATGACGCTTTCGGGAACTTCTTTGTCCGACGACGTAGCATCTCCACTCGTTCCTCCATGGTCCAGTTCACTTGATCACCGATGGGGATCATACATTTAGCCAGGTATTCGTAGTTCTTCCGGAGTAGATTCACAGTAATGAAAATATAATCAACGTTTCGGAAGACCAGAGCATTTTCCTTAGCATATCGGTCTTTTTGCTTGAGGAAAGCGACAGGGTGATCTCTCCAGTGGCGACGGGGGTTGAGGTGGTGAGAAGTGTGGTAGCCGTCATTGAAAGAGAATCGGTTACTCTGGTATTTGTCAGTGTCGGTTCTACGTGATAATTAGGATGGCGGAAACTCACCGGAACATCGATTAGTGTGATACTGGACAAGTAATCCGAATCAGGGTCGGCCGGATCCACGAGAGCATGCTGACCCCAGTTTCCGACCATCAAACCCAAGCGCATGACGGTGAGCGGAAGAATGAACACAAACGTGGTAGCGCGGGCATTGACGTAGTTGTAGAGCATGTAAATGGCAACGTAGCTACCGATCTCCCAGAAAGCGCATTTGACTGCATACTTGAACTGGCCCTTTCTCCAAAAGTACATGGGGAGTTCCAGCCAGACGAAGAAGATGAACCGGCCCACATAGGTCAGGAAATCGGGGATGCTGTCGCGGTCGTAGAACATCGTTGTGCTCAGATCGTCCCCCCCGTTACCCTCAACATGGTGGTGCTTGATGTGGTGGTAATAGTAAGAGTTCCACGTGTGTCCGTGCATAGGATCTAGCAGGTATGGGAAAAGTGTGTCGAACAGATATAATTTTGAGTTCAGGACTCCATTCATGTGGATATGCTGGTGCTTCATCAGCGTGAAAGCGCCACAATAAAACCCTTGCATGAGCCAGTGCAAGGCACCGTGGAGGTAAGAGAATCGGTAATATAGGTATGCACCACTTGGAACAATAGTGGTGAAGTAAAGAATAAGGTGGGTTACCATGACCACGTCGGTCTGGTATCGCACGATGCCCTTGGCCCAGTTGATGTATGGCGTGAGCAGGTACTTCTGGATGGGGGCGGGTAGCTTGGCCCGCAGCAGCGGGGTATCCCAGAATTGGGAGACAGTGGGATCAAATTCTACATGAGAAGGATCATTGAGGTTGTGAAGCTTTTGGACTGTTTCTTCAGCGCTCAGCTTTTCTAATGGCTGTTCACTTGTTTTGTCTGGATCTTTGTTAGTTTGATATTTGATCGACAACGCAGGAGTATTACCATTTGAACTGGGTTGAGGCTCCACGATAGCATTGATCACTAGTCGATCTTGGTAGGTGAGCTGGGGATCTGTGTATGTAGAGGGATCCATGATGCCTTAGTACGGCAAAGCAGTGCTAGTGTTCTTGTCAATCCTGTCAATCCTGTCAAGTCAAATGTAATCCAATAGACAGGCACTAACCCGCGTCCAAGGAACTGATTGTAACAAACTTCTTGGATAATTTCCGGGATTGCTGGGTTTATAAAGAATAATACTCCGTAGATGCCTAGCGAATACGCTGGATAATCTCCTATAAGACAACGCGTCAGGGGCGCGAAGAGATTTCGGGACAAGTGTGGGTCCTGGAATCGAGTTATGTGAAGTGTCAAAACAACATTTTGAAGGTTATTAACATTCAATCCAGTGTTTTCAATTACAGCTCAAGCTATCCGTTGCCATCCGAGAGTAGTTGAAGTTCTGTCAATAAATTATGATTGTGCTACTCCGTACATCATTCCAATCTGATTCAGGGGGCTTTTGGGCGGGACACGTTTTCCCCTGAACATCCCAGCAACTTGACACTGGGGCGGAAACTCCAACTAATGTACAATTGTTCGAGGTATGCATCTAGAAATATGCTATAAATTATTTATAGAAATAATTTGTAGGTTTTGGTAAATAGGATTACGATAATTTACAACATACAACATACATTTCCTGAGGGTTGCCCCTGGCGGAAGATCTCCACTAAGAAAATAAGCAGTTAGCCCACCTGGGCAGAACTCATCGATGGTCTAAAAATAGAGGTGGATGCTGGGAAGAAGCATTGTGCTTTTGGGAAATATACTCCCTAGGCAACATCGAAATATTCTAATACTGAAATCTGTTTGCGATGAAAGATGGAACAATCCATAAGATACAAACAAACCGACATCTGGCCTTAATATCCAAGAGCTGCCAAGACAGTGACATAGTTGGTGAGAGAAGGGGTGACTTCCTTCGATACATAAGCTTGAAGTCCTTCTTTTTCTATACTGGAGGACTTATAGACCCTGGTGTACAATACCTCGTCTAGGCTTTGAATGTCACTGCACCACTGAGGTTGATCTGAGAATCTGACCGGCTATATCCAGAGTACTCACAACAAAATACTGACCCATCGGGCTTGTAAAATGAATATTGGTTCCGTTCAAAGACCACATAAACACTTCCGTGGCTCCCATTCCAACTCACATACAGATTCCCAGAATGTTCACCTGCTTTCCCTAGCAGGGCACAACGGTGAAATTCTCTCATTATAACACTGTTCGCCTTCCTTGTAAACATTTAGGATAGGTCCGAGAGCATTGGATGAGTGGTACAGCTGATGAAGCCATCGGTCGAAAGCTCCATGGTCTCATATGGTCACGATCGATACAACAGAGGGATATCAGCTACTGACTCGCATGCAGGAGCAACACCATAAGATTTGAGAACGCGGTTAAGCATCGCATAGTACCACAGGCTCAAGTGAAACGTGGCAGCCGTATAAGATTTGCATAGGGCCGATGGCGGGAGGTTATCCCAGCCTCCGCTGCGGTGCGGTGCCAAGAAGATCTGCGCGGGCAAATCCTTGGGGAAGTCTTAGGGCTTTTGTTTTGGTGGGGCTGCGCTTTGGTTTACTTGTGAGGGATAGTGTTTGCTTCTTGTTTGTAACCGTTTTTGTATTACTGAGTAGCTTGTGTGATACTAGGAGTGCCTTCTTGTAAAAATTATCAATTCTCTAATGGAGCCATTCTGCACAATCTTGATCTCGAAATGGATGTGATTGCTTCACCTATGTTCTAGGCTGACACAGTGCCAGCTATACCAGACGAAGATAACATTCATAACTTATGTCAAGAGGGGCATTGTGGAAGCAGAGAAGGCATGAATGAGAGAGAATTGTTACTTACTAAGTAGAATTGGT